GGGCTTGATGGCAAAACGCATGGAGGAGGGTGAAGTCGTTGTGGTTTGTTTGTTTCATGTACTTGTATGGGGCAACGCGAGCTTTTCAGAGCCCACACGTGATACCTTGAGCATGACTGAGAATCCAGGAGCATGGGAAAGACCTGGAGGCACCGAGCAAAGAGAATTTACTGCGGTGTGGAAGCCCAGCACGCCATACGACTTGATGAGGACTTCTTCGTCATTCTATCCACTTTGAGGGGCTCGGGCGGATGGTTGGGTAAACGGCGTTTCTGTGGTGGTAGCAAGCAAGCAGGCGAGGTAAGGCAAGGCAACCCGAGGCAGCAAGCAAGCAGCACGTGTAGAGGATTTGAAGCCATGGGCTGGCAGAGGGCGTGATCGTTTTATGAGAACAAGGGCCTCCATGCACTACTAGTAACAAGAAGCTACTAGGTTGGAGGCCATCGCTACTAGGGTGGAGGCCATTACTAGTAACAAGAAGCTACTTGTAACAAAGCCAGGCTTTTTTAGCAGATGTCTTAATCTATATAGCGAGGCTGTGGATCGAGCAGCCAAGGATGCAAGAAGAGACAGAAGAGCTGAACCTGAGAATTCAGCAGGTGGGTTTCTTTGGGAGTTTCTTGCAGTTTCATCAGCTATGCAGGAGCCAGGAGGTGTTAAGCTCAATTCGTAAGCGTGATTGGGCACAGGCAATGTCACACTAATCAATTTCTTATATACAGTAATGCTTGTTTTTTTGGGACTATTGCTGGCCAGTGCGGTTGGAATTTGAGATGGAGAGGAGAAGTGTGTCAAACAATTGACGGAGAAACATTGAGAAACAGCAACATACTTGACGTGGTCATAAAAATTACCGAAACGCTTGAGTGTGTCATGGAATTCAAGGCCGCAGCGCTGATCCTCAAGGTTAGCTCTGACAGCCAGGTGATCAAGGAGACAGAGTGGACTTTGAAGTCCATATGGGGGATCAGACTCGCTCCGTTCAATTAATGACTGTTCAGCCCCTTGACAGTATCATACAGTATCAGTATGATGCCGGCTATGTCGGTATATCCATCGACTTGAGAACATCAGTGACAAGAGCCGTGGGTACATCGGCATATCAATTATTCAATATTATTCATGTCAATCCACTTCAAGCGAGGCAGGAAACATGCGCTAGCGGCAAACGCCACAACCTGCAATCTTCACCCTGCCCTAGATGGATCACGGGGATTCCTGTGAAAGCAAACGCAGCAAAGAGAGCAACATGCTTGCCATGCATTGAACGGAAAGTCTCATCAAAAGTATAGACCAAGTAGACCAGTTCATTTCAGGACATTGAAAAGAATATTGAAGCATTGCAAGAAGGTGCAGAGCCCAACGTCGAAGTGACACGAGCTCAGCTGTTCCGTGTAGCAGCTGTAGCAGGTAGCCTCCATTGCTTTGCAGGAGTCTTAGAGCACCAAGGCTAAGCCAGCTTGCTGAGATCATGAACCCACAAAAGGCACAGCAAACGACTCCTTGTGCGGCCCGGTAAATTTCCTGTGGTTGGCCGAAGGGCACTCATGGCAGTCAGTGGAAAGAACCGCGCTTTCAGTTTAATTGGTACATTGTACACATGTGGAATATACGAAATAGACAAACACACACACACACACTTAGATATAAAGCTCAACGGGTCGAGCATTCGATCAGTTAGTGATTCGCCGATGCATTAACACTTTACATTACTGCAATAGACCTTGGCTGAGGGAATGGCAAGGTGAAGAGTCGGCCAAAAACTGTATTGTCTGAACACTCACATTAACCCTTTACGGAAGAGTGGAGCGAAACGCTTGGACAACAGCTCAAACAGAAGGATTGGAGAGGTGGTCACCAGCTGCGACTTATGCTGCGCCCAGGGCCCAGGTGCCCCGTACGTGTACCTGATCGTCCAGTGTGGAGCTTCGTTGGCAGAGGCCACAGCAGAAGATCCCTTTGCCCCGTGCTGGTATGATGCATGAATTCACCTGTGCATACATTGATTCGGTGTTGAAGACCCTTCGGGACAGGGTTGGGCACACACACATGTCGGCGCACCCTGAAAGCAAAAGGCAGCAGCATTTTTAATATTTTTCCGTTCGCGCAGTCGCTTGCAATCTGCAGGGGCGTGGCCCTTGTGAATGTACAGTGCAATCAGCTCTTTTTCGGCAGCGGCTGCAACTGTAGGTGGGAAAGTGTTTGTTTGGAACGGTCCGTGATGCTAAGCCTGAAAGGCGCAGTGCCGGCCGGGGCGTGATCTCTATGTGATGGTGCGAGTGTCTAAGTTGATGTTGAAGCCAAGGAGGTGAAGGTCGTTGACTGGCTCAAGTTCCACTGGGTCTCCGAAGAAGTCCGGGTGGATCAGGGATTGGATGGCTGGATGGCGAAGGAGATGTTCAATCTGTTATCGAGAAAGGGTAATATGTGACGTAGATCTTGGTGTGGTCAAGGAGGTTGGAGTGCAGTTGGTGCCAAGCATCTTCGATAAAAATAACTACATTGCAAAGTGCGGGGGGGAGCTGGGATCCAATCCAGGCCATTCGTACATGCTTGAACGTGATGTGACTCGGAGGAAGTGGCCTGGAAGGGAGTGAACGTAAGATATCATTCCTTCCTGCCCGCGTCAACCTCATCGAATACATCATGACTGCGCCAGACTCTGAGGCATCGGAGCAGGTGTTGGGCGGCGGAGTCGCTAGAGGGAAAGCCGCCCAAGAGCGAGAGAGGCAAAAGAGATTGCCTGGATGATAACATCGATTTCAATTTCTTTCTGACGAGGAGCAGGCACTCGAGCACAAAAAGAAGCTGAACACCAAACCTCACCGCCATTCTTTTCATCAATGAAAACCGCGGAGGTCTGAACAGCAAGGTCTTTGAGTCCTCACCGCCGTTGATTCTGCTCATCACCGTCCACTTTTTCACATATTGTTTTGAAACTGCACCGCTGTGCGCTCCAAGCATCCTTGTCATCAGTTCGTTTACCCACCTGACCCACGAGAAGACGAGGGCACTCAGGCTGATGAAAGCAGACACTAGGACGCAAAAACCTCTGGGTTTGGCTTTCGGATGGTTGAAAGTGTGAAGAAAGGCGGCGGAAACGCGAGGACCTAACTGGCGTTGGCTTGGCTCTTAGTTCCGGATCGGATTCGGCTGCTTCGCCTCGCCAGGTCCCCCTTGGCCCTTGGCCAGTTATTTGCTGTGTGGTGCTGATTTGGCTGACTTGCGCGCCAATGGTTTTGACAAGTTGGGCGCGACAATGAGAATGATGATTGCATTGCAAACAGTAACATATCAAAAAACATCCTGATAAGTACAGGCATTTCTGCGCTTCTGATTTGACTGACAATGGGACTCGGGATGGTAGTAAACCTCTTACCAATTGGGAGGAATGGCTTGCAGGTCTGACTCGTCCGCGCCGTTGGATTTGTCAGCTCTTCTTTTCTCCAGATTGCGGCTTTGTAGAACAGAGTACCGATCATTGACTCGCAAAAAGCTATGTAGCCGCCCGTATCTATTTTTCACCCTGATCCAGTTGACTTGCCACGATCTGCCCTTAAGCCGTTCAACGTGCTGCGCAAGATGTTTTTTTCTTTGCGCAAGCACTGAGCCGTTTAGGGGCGCTTGGAAAGGCCGTGATGGCCGGTATGGACTATGCTGGTAATGGCACACAGTGCCGTTAGGCGTGCTTGTAGCCTTCTAGTTCAGAAGGCGCAGGCTGATTTAACAAAAGCAGTCCGCATACGGAGCGGCCGGCTATGTAGTGCATATGCATATGCATATGTGTGTGTATTGGGTCTGTCCTATTACCTGTAACAGTCAGCAAACAACAATTAGCACTATTTTTGGACAAGGCCTCTACTAAGCATCATCATCCACTGTTACAGGTAATAGGATAGACCCAATATGTGTATATATATTTTATATGTACATGTTTGTGTATGTGACAGAGGGGGAGAGAGAGAGAGAGAGAGAGAGTATAGATTTGCGTCAAAGTGGACACAGGCGCAATGTTACATATTAACTGGCACCACCTTGGGGTGCAGCTTTTGACTGTGGCAGGATTGGAACTTGGACAATGTGGCAATGGAAGATCGGAAACGGGCCCAAATGGAAACTGACAGGCTTGGACAATGAAGCTTTGGTGTGGTTGCGCCATGTCGTGTCGCACACGCAGCACCTTGCAGCTACTGCCACGCGACGAGCAGTCAAGAACCATACTACACTTCGACAAACAAGTGGTGAAAACAAGTTGTTGAGTGAGGTTTCCTTGTAGTGTTTTGGCGCATTGGACAACTACGGCCAGGCTAATCAAAAGGAAGGCGGAACTGCTCACTGCGATAAACCGTCATTTGGCCTTGGATGAGTGGGCGATTCGCATTGAACGAGACGGGTCCATTTCCCCCAAGGCATGCTAGAGGAGCAATATGCTGTCCAGCGGGATTGGGCTGAGCAGCGGAAAAGCCTGGATGCTTCAGAGGCTGAATTGCATAAGAAGGCCACAAAACGGAAATCGTTTGAGTTTGTTTTGGTGCATGGACATGGCTTTGAAACGTCCTTCCCTATCAGGAGCAGCTAGTGCCTGGCGAAGAAGAAGCGCTTCGCTTTTTGCAGGTTGGGAATGCCACCCGGGAACCATTGGAAGCCTTGCCATGCCGTGCTGTTTCATGGGCAATGGTGTTTGCCCATCGCATGATATCACATGATATGCAAAGCCATTGGTGAGGAACAGCACGATCTCATAGTCACATCCCTAGTCTGGCGCTCAACTGTTGCAAATTGCAGCCACTGATAAGTGGTGTTACTTTTGCAAGTGTGTCAGTGTGTGTATTAAAGTGTTGAACTCAGTGAGAGGGTGTCAGACTCCATGCCAGAATTTTAGAAGCACAGAGGCTTGTGCCCGCTCCAATATCCCAGCAGCTTCCACTCTGAAACCAAGCATCAGCTTGCCACAAGCACGACAGATGGGTTGAGTTGCTTGTTCAATGCCAATGCAGAATCAGAATCAGTACTTGATTGAGCTAGCTGCAGCCAATCCCACATATTAAATTAAATATATACTATAAGACAAATCACGGAAGAGGTTTTGCATTAATTAGTTGCTATGATTTCATGACCAAGCTCGGCAGTCTATGTTTGTCTCACCGAACCCCCTGTCAGAGTTATAAAGCCTGTGCCAGGACACCCCTCCCGCCTTGTATCTGCTCACTGGAACGCAAGGAGGTGAATGCTCGTGGAAAGATTGCAGCCCTCTAGATTCAACCAGCCTTGTGGGCTAGTGACGGTCGATTTGCCTCAAATGCTGCGTTTGACGTGGTGCCAACTGCATAATTTCGATATGTTTAGGCACATTAGCTAAGCACGTGATGTATGTCAGGATGATATCAGAGGACGACAATGAGTCTGTTGGCTCGAGACCGGTCGCCCAGTCCGGACACTTGCTTCTCAGTCATTCGGGCAGGTTCCCAGTGGATTTGAATGTGAATGTGTGTTGCTCAGGCAGCTCTTTCCCACGGCAAGTCTCCTTTGGCCAGAAGTCAAACTCCTCTGGTGCCTCAGCCCAGGAGGGAGTACCACAGAGGAGGTGCATGGGAAAGGATGGGATGGGCTGTGTGGCACATGAGGGAGAATTTGAGAAGACCCGTCTTGCGCGCAGCTCACTTGTCTTTGTATTGGACGCCCGCTTGAAGGTCCTTGGTGGTGGAACCTGCGGACCCTGTTCCCACCTGGTGTCGGAGCCCCAACCTGTGGCAGCTCGGCGCTTTCCATGCCAAAAGGTACCACAACATTCGATCCGCAGCTTCTCAGCTGACCAAGTGCTTGGCTGCGAAATGCTTTGGCACTTTTGGGATGGTTAGCCATTGGCTTCCTTGACGCAGTTAAAAACCAAACCAGTCTACTTGCTCATGGCGTTGAGGAGGGTCGACAATGAACGAGCTCAAGAACGCACTAGCCGTGGTCAAAAGTGCGGTCATTTGCATTCTACGGTTGATTGGGGCTGGGTAGCTCGTAGCTTCCTTTGTTGGCATGCCTTTCCTTAAAAATCACACGTCAGAGCAATGTTCAGCACTTCGCCATGATGCTGCTGGCGGCATGGCACGAGAAGAATTGGCAGAAGTTCTTACTTTTTGGCACACGGCTCCAGTGCCAGGGCTGTCACAGCCATAGTATAGGCTCGCACGAGCCGCGCGTCCAGGTTTCAAGATGTTTCCAGACAGCCTCGAAAAGTGCGAAGCGGCGAAGCAGCGAAGTGAAGGGGATGCCTTTGTCGTTTGTCGTGCAGATGTCAGTGCACCGAGGTGCGGATGCCGTGGTCGCAGAGGCCATTCGGGAGCTGCTGAGCAGCAACCGGCCTTGTGCTGAATGGGTGGATGTCTTCTCAGAGGCTGGACCCAGCAGTTTGGCCACCGTTCCAGGTTGCAACATGTTGCAACATGTGTAGCAGATGAACACCTACTAGTATCATCAATCAATCCAAGAATGCCAACAGCAACATACGGCAGGATTCCAATGGCCGAATCAGCACCTGGGCAGCAATTGTCGGGTAGGTTTGAGGATGGATTTTTGGCAATACAACACCCCTGCTTTTGCTAGGGTTGCCCTTTGATAGGATGTATCATGATGCATCATTCATACTTTCAGGTTCTGGCAAACCATCGATCAAGCCTGCATCACCAGCCGACTTAGGAAAAAGTGCGCTCGTTTGGCACCCAGTGTTCCCAGATTCGATGTTCGAAGGGACTTGACCGTTTCGCTTGTTTGCTTGGCCAATCTCGATAGCTGTGGTTTTTTGCGCGTTTGTGTTTTTAGATGTTGCTTTTTTTGGTGTGTTTTTTTGACAGCCCGAAGTGATTTGATCGTCACAGACCGTCACAGAACCGTCCATGCTGTTCTTTCTTCGCCATCCCACGTACTCCATCCTACACTTCAGGCAGCGCAATCAGCCTTGCTTAGCCAATTGGATAAGGAGCAGGAGAACTTACAGCTGGAGGTTCAGGAGACTCGGAAAGAGTGTTCACTCTGTGCGCGCCACGACCTTGGCCGCCTATTAAAAGTTTTTAGCTTTGCCGCAGGAAGCTTGCAAATCTCAAACGCTGTATGCCATCTAGACAAACACATCAAATCAGAAGGTTTTGCACAAGCCAAGCAGTCAAGCAGCATTCACACCACACAAAATTCCATGCCGCAAATGCATGGCTGACATCAGATTTCAAGGGCCGAAAAGGAGTTGTGGATCGGGGCCTCGACTGAAGACTAGCACGACCGCGTATATATATATATATACTAGCCTCTAGTGACTAAGGAGTTAACGGAGGCACATGCCAATTTTTGCATCCTTACTCATCAGCCTACAACTGCTTCGCAAATTTGCTGCAAATCCTTACTCGTCGTGATCATCACCCAAAACATTGCGAAAATGACCAGAATTTGAGCATGCTCGAACAGTTCCTAAAGGATCATGCTTTCGTGGTTTGTGGAACAATGCCCACATGAGTTAGGAGTTGTGGTCCAGGAGAAGACAAGTGTCAGATTTGGTTGCAGGCATAGGGTGGTCCGTCTTCAGTTGACGTGGTTTGAATGATGCTGCCCGCGGCCGGCTGCATCATTAGCATTTTTTGGATTGAAAAACAGATATATTAAATATATCTGACTTATTAAGTGAAAAAGAGAGCCTGGTTCGACCAATTCCGGCCAAAAAGATCAAAAAGGCCAATTGAGATGGCAACTCACGGCTGGAGAAGAAAAAAAGCTAGGAGTGTACCAGATTTCATGGCTGGCGCGGGGTCAGGTGACAAAAACAATTGTTTTGTGGAGTGGTGAGTTCGGAGTTGTGGGCTAGATGAGATTTCATGGCTAGGGCAACGCAAGGTCAGCCGACAAAAAACTGTGTTTCTTTGGTGTTGCCGCAACTCCTTACTCATGCTTGTAGTGTCATTGTGTTTGCAACGATTTTATATTTTTGGCCGGGGGGGTCTTCCATACACAACTCCTTACTCATATGCCCGCCACATACGCTTCCTGGACATTTTTTATATACATCCACCTGTCTGCAGACACGTGTTAGGAGTTCCTGTGCCCACAATACAAATTCATCAGAGGCACAAATCCTTACTCATCAGAGGGTAGTATATATATATATATATATAGTCGTATATTTGTATTTATATAATACTGTACTGTCTAACTTTTATGTTATACATTATTATACATAAATCCAGAGAGAGAGAGAGGGAGTCAGTAAGAGCACAAGGCCATCACCTTCAGAATTCCAGATCCACATTCAGATGGCAAGCCAGGATTACAGGCAGTGCCATGGCGACTGCACTTGGTCCTGTGGTCATCGCTTTGGCTGCCCTCAAAAGCGACGGCAGCGACAGACCAACAGATCTAGAAGATTTGCACCAATCTCGTTGGCAGGACTGACACTTGCTTTGTCCAGCACCTGGAGCTTCACAACCTTGGAGCGCTGGGACAGGGGAAGGAGTGTTGCCTTGGCTAGCAGTGCGCCAGGCAAAAGTGCACTTGGTGGACCCATTGACGTAGTTCCACTACTACAATCACTTGCGAAGGACGGTTCTGTAAACCTCATCCAGATAGGTGCATGCGACGGCGACTTTGAGGCTGGCGACGCCTCCTCAAATGATCCTGTGCAAAGCTTCGTGGCACGAGAGCCGAAGGTCATGGCAGTGCTTGTAGAAGCAAGTCCACCTACTTGCGCAGCACTTGCAAGCAAAGTGGTAAAAATGAATGCTGGCAACCGCATCACAACTGTGAATGCAGCAGTGGCCTCGTCTTCCGCGCGAGCGGTGCCTTTCTACATAGTCTCTGATCGATTTAAGCAAGACTACCCACGGCAGGCTTTCCACTGGGCAATGTGCCAGCTTAATTCAATGGACAAAGAGCATGTGCTGAAGCATCATGATTTTCTGGGTTTGTCTAGAGAACAGTTTCTTGACTATATAGAGGAGATCATGGTTTGCTGCAAGACGCCTGCCATCCTGCTGGAGGAAGCTCACATGATGCCAAAAGAGGTTGATGTTTTAGCAATCGATGCCGAGGGACTGGATGAGCAGATCTTGAAAAGCTTCTTGAAGTTTCTTGGAAAAGTGGGAGCTCACCTTGACACAAGAAAGCCATGAAGGTTCAACAAAATTAAGTAAACTAAACTAAAAACTTGTGTGGCGATCCGCAGTTCCTCAGATGCTTTGGTATGCTCATTTGTGATTCCTGTGCAGTGTTGTTTGCTGGCTTTAGCTCCGAGTGAGGTCACAGTCGGGTCTTCAAGCTGGGCAGGTAATTTTCATTCAGGGCCAACCTGTTGAAGTGACGTTTTCACGAAAGGTAGCGGTTACGCTACCTGAGTTGTCTTTGCTTTAGCAATAATGTATTGGGGGTGGTGAAGTGGTCCGGTGCTTGATTTCGGTCGTTTAAGAGTTGGTTTTAAATGTCAGGGGGGGCCCCCCCCCTCCCCCCCATTCGACTCCACCCTGCGCCGCGGAGAATTTGGTAGTGATCTGAGCAGAAGCAAGCAGCCAGCAGCAGCAGCAGCAGCAAAGCACCAAAGCTCACACAAGTTTGGCCTCCGCAACCCTTAATTTTCGTTCAGTTTTTTGGGGGTTGCGCAGACGAAATTGAAAGAGGGGGGGACAGCAAAGCAGCAGCAGCAGCCTTCAGGATTCAAGCAACAGCAGCAACCAGCAAGAAGTAGCAGCAGCAACAGCAACAGCCAAACAGCAGCAGCAACCAGCAGGAGCAGCAGCAGCAGCAACCAGCAGGAGCAGCAACCAGCAGCAGCAGCAACCAGCAGCAGCAGCAGCAGCAGCAGCAACCAGCAGCGGCGGCGGCGGCGGCAGCGGCAGCGGCAGCAGTGGCGGCGGCAGCAGCAGCAGCAAAAGCAAAGCAGCGGTTGCAGCGCAGCAAAGCAGAAAGCAGCAGTAGTGGCACCAGTGGCAGCAGCAACGACTAAGCAACCAGCAGCAGCAGCAGCAGCCGCAGACATGCTACCTTTCGTCCACCCCCATCTCCTCAAGTGGTTTCGGGAGATTCTATACTACGCTTGCTGCGCCTTCACTTGTTGTGATTCATCTCCATTGGTTTGATATACCTGCTTCTAAGGCTTCCTGGCTTTGATCCTTTGATGATCTTCTGTGAAGTCACGCACATGGATTCGTCAGACGTGTGCCAGCTCCACTCCAAACTGGAAGCGAGGGGATATGAGCTCGGCCATGTTCAGACTGAGATGGCAGCAGATGGCCGAGGAGATTTAGTCGCCTGGAAGCGCCACTTGAGCACAAAAAGGCTGATGCAACTTCTTTGACTTAAGCGTCAGGGCTTGGAGAAACCTTTCCGACGCTAGGAGCTGGAGAGACAAGTGCAGGAACGCATGCTTGTGGTAGGGGACTTGGCTTGCTTTCTTGCTACACCACAGCCAATGTTTCTTCCCCACAGGCCAGCATGAAGGTTCCGATAGATGGGCCACCTGGCGGCACTTGTTGCTTGACAATGCCAGTTTCCGATCATAGCTGACCCGAAACCAACATATCACATGACGCAAACGCTACATTGTTGGCGCGGATGTATCAGACATTGTTCCATCACTGATCACTGAAAGGAGATTTGAATGGTGGCATGAGTCAGTGCTTGGCAAGGCAAGCCGAAGAGAAAGCTAAAACAGCTGTGCAGGAGATGGACAGGCCGCGCCATAGTGCGCCAAAAGGATGCCTTCAACACGGCAAGGTTCAGGAAATCCAGAAGTTATAAGCATACTCCATCTACGCAGGCAAATCCAAGCCTTGCGCACGGTGCAAGTACCGCCAAGTCGAGACCATGCAGGCAGAGCCCAGCAGAGAAAAAGCCAAACTTCACAGGGAACACCCAAACTTCGCATCAGTTTGGATGCAACCAACTCAAGTACAATCGGCAGGACAAAATGACCTCCACGCTCGCTTGGCCGGCGTGCAACGCTGAGACTTGGCAAGAAATTGAGCAAGCACGCCTTTGGAGATTTTTGAAGTTGACCTCGCCCTCAGATAGGGGCCAATAGCATCCGGCCCTATAATTGATCTAGATTGTGCCCGTGATTTGAAGAACATGTTTTCATCAATTTTTTGTTGCATACCTAGCCCATGTCTAGCGTGTACAGCCCATCGAAGCTCCAACCCTAAGGCCAGGAAGCATTGAAGCGAGGGGACCATCCAGATGAACTTCCACCAGTCCTTCGACCCGTTCGAGAGGTGGATCGGGTGGATGCGGGCTGGGCGGTGGGAGGGTCGCCAGTGAAGGTACAGCACCCGCCACACCATCATGATCTATAGGAATGGACCAAAATGGTATGTTTCGAACGCCCAGGGTAGTCGGTGGTATATCGGTTGTGAGCTTGTGTTTGGATGGTTTCTTATGTGCGGATGGGTGGGAGGCGGCTGTGTGTGTGTAATTACTGGAAAGATCAAGAACCAGAAATGAAAGCGACCCAGGATAGGGCTAGCTTGCTTTGTTCGATATATTTTCAGGGCACAGGGCATTCATGCTACCGTTTGAGCTGACAGTGCTGTGGTGGAGCCTAGCCTGGTGGTACTGGACTGGATGTTGTTGCTTGTTTGGTTGCTTAACAATCTTAAGAATTGGCTTAGCATGGCTTAGCAAATTCAACTCCAGACATTCCAAAAATAATTGTCGTTTGCAAAGTTGCTATGAGCTTGAACGTTTTTTCAGTTGACTATGGTCACCAGCGCGAGGCCCTCCTTCTGGAAAAGGAGAATCAGGCACTGATGCGAATCTTGGGTTAAGCTAGCTCCATGTCGATGCGCAGAGATTCCAAGCCAGCCATTTGTTGCCTAAGGACAGATTGTGGACTTGGGGCCTGAAACAGAAAAGTTCAGGGATGCTCAGCTTGCAATAGGAATTACTCTTCAGCAGACATACATACCCCCCCAAAAAAAAAATAAAGAACTTTTTTGACGGTCCGTGTTAACCATACATGCTTTTGCAGGCGCAGTTCCATGTAAGCAGGAAAACAAGGCCCCCCGAGGGCTAACATAGCATGCGAACCCGTTTCACTTAGTGCCTATCCAGGATTCCATGTTAGTGTGTTTTGTGCCTGGCAGGTTCCATGTTAATGTAGTTTCAGAGCCCGGGAGGGCCGGCATCCTAAACTTTCATAAACCCTCACACAGGCCCTGCGCCTCCTAATAGTTTGTGATGTGTTGTGATGTGTATTGCACGCTCCAAGCTCCCTCGCTCCAAACTCCTGGTCCTCCACCTGTGGTCCAAAGTTGGCTACGCTAGAATTTACACTGGGTAAACCAAAGCAGCCAAACCAACACTTGAACATCTTGTATAAAATCGTTTACTAAACTGCCCCCAGAAACGTCTTTTTTTGGCCTCGGAAAGGGATCTCCCCACAAATGGCTTCCATCCTTCAAGATAAGCTACAATGAGGTAGAGTACTCCCCAGAAATGTCACCCCGTGTTCTATGTTAACGGCTGTGTGTGATTCTGTCAGTATTGTAATGGTACGGTACTGGTCCGCCCTTCTTGCAGTACAGCACTTGTGGTCCAAAGTTGGCTACAATAGTGTTTACACTGGGTGCACCAAAACAGCCAAACCAACACTTGAACATTTTGTATAACATAATGTACTAAACTGCCCCCAGAAATTATATTTTTTGGCCTCGGAAAGGGATCTCCCCACAAATGGCCTCAATCCTTCAAGAAAAGCTACAATGAGGTAGAACACTCCCCAGAAATGTCACCCCGCGTTCTATGTTAACGGCTGTGTGTGATTCTGTCGATACGGTAATGGTACAGTACTGGTCCACCCTTCTTGCAGTACAGCACGTGTGGTGCAAATTTGGCTACCTAGTATTTACACTGGGTGAACCAAAGCAGCCAAACCAAACTTGAACATTTTGTATAAAATCATTTACTAAACTGCCACCAGAAATTACTTTTTTGGCCTCGGAAATGCAGGAAAGGGGTCTCCCCACAAATGGCTTCCATCCTTCAAGATAAGCTACAATGAGGTAGAGTACTAAGAGTACTCCCCAGAAATGTCACCCCCGTGTTCTATGTGAACGGCTGTGTGTGATTCTGTCGGTACGGTAATGGTACAGTACTGGCTGCCCGGCTGCCCTTGTTACAGTACTGCACTTGTGGTCCAGAAAGGATGTGTGGACCAAGTGAAGCAAGCCTAACATAGAACTTGCTCGGACAGAGGGACATGAGACTAACATAGAATTTCCATACTGGAGAGACGTTTTGGATTCCTGTTCTATGTTAGGCTACTTGGGGGCTTGTCCGTGTTCCGTGTTAATGTACTTCCTTTTTTGGGATTTGGAGCTATGTTTGTTTGCTAAAGTGTATGAACTATATTAGTAACTATCTGACGAAAGATGACGAAAGGATCTCTCGCCTCTCGCTCTCACAGATGGCCCAGAGTGGCGACAAATTAGAAAACAGGACGCCTGACAACAAGAACGCTACTAGGGGCTCCTGGCCTTACTACTATGAACAATATCGCTAATTACTAATTCTTCCATGCGTTGAGACTCCGAGGCGAACTTTGCCACCTTCAAGAGGTCTATGGAACGCTTTAACTTTAGGCGGCGGCTCAGCAGCCAGAAGCGCAATGAACTGGGAGATAGAAACAGGACTGCTGTTGTTTGGATTTAATGCTCAGCAGAAAGCCGTTCAAAACAGGGGCAACTGTTCTTCTACTCGCATGAAGCTAAGTATACCATACACATATTATACACCATGTCAATCATCCTGCTCACAGTTAGGCCTGCGCTACTTTCAAAGCTAAGCCTCACTGGCTGTGTTGTGACAACGTAAATATTTTAAATATGTGTCTTGGAGATATAGCAGGAATCGAGCGCTCCGACAGAGCTGCAGAGAGCTGAATGTACTCAGAGTCTTAGTAGCAAGACACTTCAACATCGCATTCATCCAAATTCATCCAAGTTTGGCTGCTAGTCTGAAAATGTCATCTAAAGCACAAGGCCTGCAGTCATTCTTCCATGTGCTGAGTTGCCACATCGCAAGTTGAGACGGAAAACTCCAAGGAGAGCAGGTCAAACGTGCTCGAGCAGAAGCAGCTTTAGACTGAAGAAAGGTAGTCAGCACAGCTCCCCCAAACAGGCCCAAAGGCCTGGCGCTGCGTTGCGCAAAATGGCTTGCCATGTGCTTGTTGTTTTTGGAGCCTAATTTTGCGCTTGATGTGCATGTTGAATTTGCAGGTGTTCACCGGGTTGGCATTTTTGGGCTCGTCACTGGTGGAGTTAATAGAGACTGAGACAATGTGGAGACAATCTGCCAGCAAACCTGCAAGTTTGCAAGTGTATGAAAAGGGTTCTCATCAGCAAAGCCCTCATGCTGTCGTCTCTCAACACAGATCCTGCACATCAACACTGGTCAAGACGTTTGGACCAGCATCTTCGGCAATGTGAAAGAGATACAAAGAGAGCACACGGAACAGTACCGTATATATCCAAAAAGCAAACCAGCTCCAGGTTTGATCAAAGCATTTTGCAGGAAAATGGTTGAACACTGTTGAGATCCTTGGGCTCGGACTAGTGTTATTGCTGTTCTTCCGCAGTGATGTCATGTCATTTGGGAAGAGCAAAAGGCTGCCATCGTTGCAGAGCCACCGCCTCAACGGCCCTTGCAAAAGTGTGGTTGTTTGATGTTGTTTGATTGTGGTTTAGGATGCGGTTATATCGACGGCTGACTAGATAGAAATTGACTCGGGGCAACATTGATGTTTTAACATTATTGACTTATTTCTATTTTTGGGACGCGTGTTATTTACAGTGTTTTGAGAAATGTGTGATGTTTATCTTGATTTTGCTGGCAGCATACCGGCAAAGATATGCTCGTATAAAATTGGGATGGCTGATACCCCCATAAAATGGCTTTATGTATGTCAGGATATGCTGGCTACACCCCTGATTTTATAGTGATTTGGTGATTTCATAGAGGTTTACGATAGGGTACACCCCTGATTTTATAGAGAGTTGATCTCGTTTTCAGAGAGCATATACCCACCTGATTTTATAGTGAAGGCATTCTTATTGTGAGGTTACCCCCCAAAAAGTTTTATAGACTGAAGTGCCAAATTATGATGATTACTGACGCTGACACTTGCCATTTTATATACAGTAAAATTTACTTTGCATCGTATGGAGAAGAAGAAGAAGGGCTGATGCGAGTGATGTTATAGAGATTTTTTAAAAAAAATTGTGGCGAGCTTCCCGATGCCAAGTGCGGCCTTCGGGCTCAATGATGCTTCATGCCTTGAGCATCATAGAATGATTACAACATATATCAACAACAACACATGAATTATATAAGAATCTCTACTAATTCACCGAGCACTTGTCGGGAAACTTCCCGACAGACGCTCAAGAGATTCCTAGTCGGGAACGACTGGCTGTCCAACAGGCCTTAAACAGGGGGGCCAGGCGGCCACACCCCTGACTTCATAAAGATGTACATGTACCTACACCCCCATGATTTATATAATATATTGATGTGTGTATATAGACTAATAGACGGATGGGAGGCTACGCCCCGCAATTTTATATATATAGAAAATCACCAGGAAGGCCCCCACCCCTATACCTTAGCATCCAGGTATTTACAGCACTTGAGCACCTGATGTTGATTTTTCACTTGTATTTGATGGTATTTTCATATTCCTTGCTATTGGCAAGACTTTGGAAGGCACGCGCTTCCCTTTCTGTGGTATTTGCAGCACTTTGGAACAGACACCTTCGTATTCCTTGCTATTTGCAGCACTTTGGAAGGGTTTTGTTGAAATTCACCTCATCCCCATGGACCCCGTAGCGTGGACTCTCAAGGTAGAGTAAAAGAGACGCTTAGCGGTTCTACAGGGTTAGCTAGGATAGCTAGGAAATCTGTGCTGATCCTGTAAGATACAGGTTATCAGCCGTATGCTCTAACTAGAGTAGAGCTACTGCTGATGGACAAAATCCTGCACTACCTCACCACTTTACCCTGGAAGGGTCGCGTAGCAACCCCCGTGCCCCCTCATTCAATGTTGGCGCGACCCCTCTGAGGAGGTGGTGCAGGATTTTGGACCTTCAACTTGTTTTTGTTTTCTCACTGTGGTGGCCCCAATGTTAACGAGGGAGAACGAGGGCAGCAAGAAAAGTGTGCGCAAAGTGGTGCAGGATTTTGTCCATCAACAGTCTCGTTTCATGACTACAGTTTCGTTTCAGTAATATTGCTCTACCAAGCTTGTTGTGTTAGTTTTTTGCGCCTACTTGCTGGCTGATGCCACTTGTTTGCTGCTCCGTTTGTTGTTTGCTATCCTTTGTTGGTGTTTACTATACTTTGCTGTCACGTGATAAGGGATGTTGCGGGGGAAGTACACAGTGCTCTGACAGTGCTCAAAACAGTGCTCGGAAGTCAAAAACATTGAAAATACCAGCGATTCGGGCAGTAGCAGTGCAAAACGATTGAAATTTTGAATTCTAGGCTTTTTATTGACTCCTTTACCACTCCTGTGGCCATACCCACAGTATTTACAGGGTTTTGGTGCGTGGGTACTGTCTGGAGCACTGTTGGAGCACTGTCCGGGCACTGTGGAGCACTGTGTTGCCATGTAGTCCCCGGCTGCGTTGCGCGCACAGGAGTCAAAGCCATGGTCGCTCGTCATGATGGCGCTCTACTCTGTTTGCCGTCCCCCATCCCTTGTGTCCTTCTTTGGTTCTTGTTACTGACGCTGCAACGCTTCTTCTATACGTGGGGCAACCCTGTGTCACCGGCTTCACAAGTTTGTTCTTCCTGTGTCGCTGGCTTTTCAAGTTCTTTGTAAGATTGTGTTGGCCCACCGCTGTTTGCTTGGCACAACCCTGTGTCGGGTACTGTATGGACCCGATGGACGATGACGTCACACCGAACGCCTACGGAAGTGGTTTTGACATTGTTCCAAGCATGCCCGGTAGTTTGGATGCAGTCCAACGACATGAGCAGGCAGTTGCTCAGGTGGCCGCAATGGATCCAAGGGTAGCTTCGGAGGTATACCAACAGATGCTAGACAGTGGTGGCAGTGTTTCTCTTCAAGAAGCTACTCAAGCTACCCTAGCAGGCATGCCGTCAGCCACCGTGACGGGTGCGCCAACTGTAAACAACATGTCGGCAATGACTCGGCTAAACGTCGTCAATGTAAACGCTACAACAGTCGATGAAGAACTACGACGTGAACTACAGCAACGTGAGTTTCAACTCAGTGAGCAAGCTAGGATGGAAGCAGAACTCGAAGCATTGCGTTTCAGACAGCTATATGAAAGAGAAGCTTCCGAACCCATCGCAGCAACAAAAGTTGCGGCAGAGTTAGCCGTGCAAAATGTTCAGCAAAGGGCTCAACAGCAAGACAATGTTGCGATCAAACGGTTGCAAGGTACATTGGAAGAGCAGCGGGAGCATTTTCAACAACAGCTAGCACAGGCAACTATGGCTCACGAAAAGGCTGTACAAGAGAGAGATGCCTTAGCAGCAAGTTGCAATGATGGCAATGTATATGTTGAAAAGTTGAAGTCAGAACATCGCCAGTACGTTGAGCAAACGAAACTAGATTTAAGTCAGCGGCAGAGGCAACGGAGCAAGCCAGGTCAACAGCAGCCGAAGACGCCAGTAAAGTTATAGATCTAGAATTCAAGCGCGAAGAATTGACAAATTCATTGGCAATTGCTCAAGCAAAGATCAGGTCGCTTTTGAGCGAAATGGAACCAGCCAAGAAACAGAACGATTTTGACAATGGGCTTCAGCAGCAAACAATTACAGAACTCAGGAAGGACAACATAATGTTGAAAGGCGAAATGGATGAGCTCAGACAGGCAGTGCAGGTGTTATCCAATGCAAATGAGGAAGCAGAACGCAAGGAGGCGTCGCGCAAAGAGGCCGAACGCAAAGCACAAGCCGAAAGCCCCGCTAAACCAGGGCCGCATCATCCTCAACCGCCTCCACCTGGTACACAAGCTGACGCTTTCCTATTGGTCAACCTCGTTCACTTGGACCTCTACGTACGGAAGGCTCAATTCCCAACCGTAGATGGTTCGCCCCCAGATGTTGGCGGAATTCCCGTGAAGACTGCAATGGATGCAAATGCAGACACACGCAACACGGGATTTCCTTCAATGTTTTCTGGAACAGGGGCGGCTGCAACAGAGCAAGCTACAGCTTCAACGGATAAAAGAAAGTTTGATACAGCAGATCCTTGGGCAGAATATCGGAAGAAGTCGGCACAGTACAACTTCAGCGATGACTCCCTTTGTTCAAAGGCTCCTTTAACCAGGATGCCAAACAAAACAAAGATGACCGCAAAGATGAAGGGCCAGCATCTCAGGTACGAACTCCCCAAGAACAAGATCTAGGTGAAGTCATTAAGAGAGCCTGGCTAGAGGGGTTTAAAGGCAAAGACCAGGATAAACCCAAAGCAAAAGAGTCAGAGGCAAACAAAATAGACCTTCCCGAATTCCCCAGTCCTGACAGGTACCGCACTTAGCGATTCGGTCCGCGTCCGATGACCCAGACGCCGCGTTCGCGTGGGTGCTTGAGGTTTACGCCGTTCACGAAGACAAGGCAAAGCTTTGTTCCGAGCTGGCAGACCCAGGCAAGTTTCGGACCTTAGATACAAAACTACTTGCCGCTTTGACTAAGGTCGCTAAGGGCGAGCTGGCTCAGCAAATCCTTAATTATAGCGAGTCCGAGGCACAGCAAGGTAGGATTGTTCGTGGTCGTCAGGTCTTATGTTTGAAGTCCATTTCAAAACTACCGAAGAAGCGGGTGCACTTTATGGTACTGAAGACCTCCTCAAGATCTCACTTGATAGTGATGACTTGAAATCCTTTCTTAGGACATGGGAAAGTGTGTTGACTGGAAGAGCCATGTACCGGACCCAGCTACACTTAAGGATCTTTTCTATAGAGAGGTTAGGAAGTCTCGTAAACTCAGATTTGACCTTGATGTCTATGAACGTGCCTCAGAGGGAAGTAACGACAGTTATCAACTCTGTCAGACGGTATCTTGATAGGGAAAGGCTTAGGACCAATAGAGAGAAAATCTCTCAATCACGCTCAGCAAAACATGCAAACCCAGCGCCGCATGACAAACGCACACGAAGCCCTAGTTATGGCAAACGAAGCACGAATCGTGACAACAGCAACCAATGCTATGAGTTCGCCAAAAGTGGCGAATGCAAGTACGGAAGCAAATGCAAGTACTCGCATGACTCTAGTGCCCGTCACCGCTCCCTTAGCCGGGAGTCGTCGCGTTCGCGTAGTGCTAGTTCTAGTGGTCGCTCCTCTTTCAGGTCAAGCCGATCAAGAAGTTCTTCCAGACCGTCCTCTCGTAGCAGTTCTAGAAACTCATCAAGAACCTCAGGTAGAGGTAGGAAATCTGAGAATCCATGTAGGTTCTTTGCTAAGGGCAATTGCAAAAGGGGTGACAAATGTCCATTCAAACGCGGTGAAACGGCTACACCGGCCCCACGTAGACGCAGCCCATCTCCTGCAGCTAGAAGGTCCAAGGACAAGAAATCCAATAAGGACAAGAAAGACAAAAAGAGCAAAAGGGGAAAGAAGGAAAAGAGCCCAAAGGCAAGTCCATGTATTCAATGA